AGAGGTCAGAAGAGAAAGAAAGAAGGCGGGGAGAAGGAGGAGAGGCGAATAAAAAGAAATTCTACCCAAAGAAGCCTGTCAAGTCTCCTACCAATTCCTCAGCAGCCTGCATTCACGACCCCCACCCCCGCGGCCCCAGCCATGCAACCTCGGAGGCTACTCCCCTTCCCTTCCCTTCCGCTTCCGGTTTTTCTCCGGTCATTCAGCCCCGCACCCCAGTTCCGGCGCCGCCGGGTCTGGGTTCCGGGTTCGTTTCCCTGGTTTCCGGGCCCGGCTGGTGTCTCCCGCTGCCGGGCGGAGCAGCGGCCCTCGGGGGGGTCGGGACTCGCCGGCCGAGCTCCCGCCGGCCCGGTCTCGGGTCGCGTCGCCTTCCCCGCCCCATGGAGTCCCAATGCGACTACTCGATGTATTTCCCGGCCGTGCCGCTGCCGCCACGCGCCGAACTGGCTGGGGACCCGGGCCGGTACCGGGCGCTGCCCCGGCGCAACCATCTGTACCTAGGGGAGACGGTCCGCTTCCTGCTGGTGCTGCGCTGCCGGGGCGGCGCGGGGCCCGGCGTCGGGGGCGGCGCGGGCTTGGCATCCCGAGGGGCCTGGACCGAGCTGGCGACTGCCCTGGCCGCCCTGGCCTCGGTCAGCGCCGGAGGGGTGCTGCCAGGGGGCGGCGGCGGCGGCGCCGGCGACCAGGATGCTGAGCCCCCGGGGGGAGGGGACCCAGGGGGCGGGGGCTTGTTTCGAGGCTGCAGCCCCCTTCTCACCCACGGCCCGGGCCCTGCTACCTCAGGGGGAGCGACCACGGTGAGGATCTCGGGGTGACGAGGGCTGAGGGGAGGTTGGCTGGGGCCACCGAGGAGGCAGTTTGGGGCATGGACTCTTTAGGGACCTGACGCAGGAAGGCAGGTGAAGATAGCATTGTCCTGCCTTGCAGAGGGACCTAAGGCAGGAAGGGGATGACAGCGAGAGGAGGACGTAAAGACTTGCCCTGTCTTGCAGCGAGGTTGAAGAATCCTGCATCTTTGATACTGACTTCTCACCCCTTTCATAACCCCTAGCTGCCTGTGGAAGAACCGATCGTGTCCACAGATGAGGTCATTTTCCCACTCACTGTTTCACTGGATAGACTGCCCCCAGGGACACCCAAGGCCAAGGTAGGATGACAAAGCTGGAGCTGTTGCCCTATAATTCAGACGACATTTCAAGACCCGTCTATCAGACCTGAATCATGGTCCGATGGCTCCTGTACCTAGATTGTAGTGACCGTGTGGAAGCGCGAGGTCGAGGCACCGGAAGTCCGAGATCAAGGCTACCTGCGCTTACTACAGACTCGATCTCCTGGGGATACTTTCCGCGGAGAACAGAGCGCCTTCAAGGCCCAAGGTGGGGGAGAGGAGGAAAGCTAGAGCTTGGAGGAGGGGTAGATTAGAGGGGCCAGACTGGAAGGGACGAGCTGTAAGGTAGTGGTCTGATTTCTTGCCTCATTCTCTCTCTGCAGTAAGCACCCTGCTGACGCTGCTTCCCCCTCCAGTTCTGAAATGCCGGCAGTTCACTGTGGCTGGAAAACACTTGACCGTCCTCAAGGGTGAGCGGATCTGCAGGCTCAAGGCTTGAACAGCTGCAAGGGAGTGGACTGGAGGGCAGTGATGGGTCTGTTATGCTAGGTAAAGGGGGTGGGGTCTCACTGCTCTCAACTGGGCTGGTTCCCCTACACAGTGCTGAACAGCTCTTCCCAGGAGGAGATCTCCATCTGGGATATCCGAATCCTCCCCAACTTCAACGCCAGTTACCTGCCTGTCATGCCGGATGGCTCTGTACTTCTGGTGGACAATGTCTGGTGAGGTCCTGGGGAGGGGCAGGGATGTTGAGTGGTGCGGACAGAGATGGGATATGGCAAGCTCAATGCACTGCCTTCTTTTCTTCTGAACTAGTCACCAGTCTGGGGAAGTCTCCATGGGCTCCTTCTGTCGGCTTCCTGGTACCTCTGGCTACTTCCCCTGTCCACTTAGTGCTCTGGAGGAACACAACTTCCTGTTTCAGCTGAGAGGGGGTGAGCAGCCCCCTCCCGGGGCCAAGGAGGTGAGCTGCTGTGTTCGCATAAGTGATGAAAACAGAGGGAACTGGAGATAGGGTTCAGTTGATAGAGTGCTTGTGTACCGAGCACAAAACCTTAGGTTCTGCCCTCAGCATTCAGGCGTAGTGGCATGTGCCTGGGATCCTAGCACTTGGGAGGTAGCAGGAAGTTCAGAAGTTCAAGGTCATCCCTAGCTACATAAGGAGTTGCAGACCAGTCTCAAAGAATAGACAACGGAAGGGAAAGTCCATGGGCTTAAGAGAGGAAAACTCTGAACATGCGAAGTCTCCCTTTGTCCTGTCTGCAGGGTCTTGAAGTCCCCTTGATTGCTGTGGTTCAGTGGTCCACCCCAAAACTGCCCTTCACCCAGAGCATCTACACCCACTACCGGTGAGTATGTGGGAGACCCACCAGGCACTTTTCCTGCTCACCTCTGCCTAACACATACACCCAGCTTCCTCTTCCACTGCTCCTAGCCTGCCCAGTGTCCGCCTAGACCGCCCCTGCTTTGTGATGACTGCTTCTTGTGAATCCCCTGTGCGGACCTACGAGCGGTTCACTGTCACCTACACGCTGCTCAACAACCTCCAAGACTTCCTTGCTGTGAGGCTTGTGTGGACCCCGGAACACGCACAGGCTGGTGGGTCACCTACCAGGCTGAGACCTTTTCCCCTGGGAGGGACAGGGAAAGCAAGTGGTAGGGTAGTGAGAACAGCTCCAGGTGGTGTCAGCCCCACCTCAGTGGGTGACTGCAATACCCAGATGGCTCTGCTGAGTTCCTGGCTAGTCAACCTGGGTCACAGATGGGGTGTTAAGATAGGCAGTGGGCAGAGACACTGGATCTACGCTTTCTGGTACAAGTCGTCCGTCGTCATCCCCCCCCCCCCCCCCCCCAGTTACTAGCTCTGTGACCTTGGGTAAGTTACTTTGTCTCTCTGGGCTTCTGTGCTCTCTAAAACTGAGTAAATAACATCTCATGGCTTGTTACGCATATTAACGAGTTAGCGCACGATATTGGTTAGAACAAACCTCAGCACACAGCAGCATTAACTACCACTGTCTATAACCCTCAGCAAAGATAACATTTACTCAGTTTACTCCACAGAGCACCTTGCAAATTAAACGCCCGCCCCCCCCTCCCCAATGCTGGTAAAGACCTATGGGAGCTGAGGAAAACTGTCCAGTGCTCACGGGTACCTGCTTTCTGTCCCCAGGAAAGCAGCTGTGTGAGGAAGAGCGTCGGGCCATGCAAGCAGCCCTAGACTCCATCGTCTGCCACACGCCCCTCAATAACCTTGGCTTCTCCCGGAAGGGCAGCGCACTTACCTTCAGTGTGGCCTTCCAGGCCCTGAGGACGGGGCTCTTTGAGGTGGGCCCAGCGTTGGGTGGAACATTTGGGGTTTCCTAGCTTCTAGAGGGGAAATGTCTTAGGTGGCACTGGAAGGCTGGGCACAGGGAAGGTGAAACCCAGTCCAACCTGGGTCTGTGTGAAGGTCTGCATCTTCCTACCCAGCTGAGCCAGCACATGAAACTGAAGCTCCAGTTCACGGCCAGTGTGTCCCACCCTCCGCCTGAGGCCCGGCCCCTGTCCCGCAAGAGCAGCCCTAGCAGTCCTGCTGTCCGGGACCTGGTGGAAAGACACCAGGCCAGCCTAGGCCGTTCTCAGTCCTTCTCCCACCAACAGCCTTCCCGTAGCCACCTCATGAGGTAAGGGACCTGGACTGGTGTCAAGGTGGCCAAGAAGGAAGTTGGGAGGCAGGAGCAGGGCGCTGGGAGGGATGCTGCACCCTCCCAGAGCCCACAGCCTCTGTCTTCTCCCAGGTCTGGCAGCGTGATGGAACGCAGGGCCATCACACCCCCTGTGGCCTCTCCCGTCGGTCGTCCCCTCTATCTGCCCCCGGACAAGGCTGTGCTTTCTCTAGACAAGATTGCCAAGCGCGAGTGTAAAGTCTTGGTGGTGGAGCCCGTCAAGTAGCACCAATCTGCTCACTCAGCTCCGTACACTCCAGAAACCCTCAGCCCCCGGAGGGCTCCTTGTTCCTAGGCGGCGTCTCCCACTGGAGGCAGAGAGGCCCTTCAGGGCTGCCTGTCTGTGTCTGCTGGTGAGGGATGAGGGCGGAAGCTGTGAAATGTGCAGCACGGCTGCAGCTCGGCCAACAGTATTCCCCAAGTTCTCGTGGGGGGGCTGGCCCCACCCCAGCAGGGCAAGGGGCTGCAGGCGCTCCCTTGTCCCAGTCCTTCCCTTTGTCCTGAGTTTACAGAGTACTCTCATCCTGTTCAGTCCTCTCTGCCTCTGAAATTCCCTTCCACCCACCCGCAGGGCTGAGATTAGAGGGTGGCAGTGGTAAAGGGACCCCAACAATGACAATGACTCTCCTGTCTCAGGGGTTGGGGACATAGCTAGGTGGCCTCTTTCTGCCCCTCATGTTTACGTTGGCAGCCTGAAGCACTTTAAGTTCCGTTTTCTTGGTTTTTTTTTTTGTTTTTTGTCTGTTCCTGTAACTTATTCTCTGACTACATACATCTTCCAACTGAAGTAAACCTATTAAAAGCTGTTCAGGAGGGAGTCTCAGTGTTGTCTGTGTTGACCACACGGGAGGTCGCCTTCAGTATACAAACAGCTGCCTTCCTATCCATGATTCTCCAATTCCTAGTTTTACTTATGTTGGTTTTTTGAAACACCCTAGACTGGCCCTGAAACCACTATGCAGCAGCCCAGGCTGTCTAAAACTTGATGCTCCTGACTTGCCTCTCAAGTGCTGGGATTACAGATGTGCATCACCGCACCTGTCTCCAGTTCTCAGTTCTGGCTGCCTGGTGGTGGTCTTGTCCCATGGATGGACTGAGGTATGGCTATCTTCCTAGAAGGACAAAGACGGGCACAAAGGTGTGGCCTCAGCCCCACCCGAACAAACCATTCTATGTACACCTCCTGAGCCCTGGAAGGGTTGGACTGCTGTTTATTACGCAGAAGGGAAGAAAGGAGGGGATGCTCTTGCCATGGTTTCCCTTAGCGCAGAAATCGCTAAGCCTCTGTGTCTTGGGTGGGGGTGAGGAGGTGGCGAGCATAGGCCCAGTTCCAGCAGCGAGAAAGGTAGAGGACGGTGTCCCCCGTCACAGGCCCCAGCGGCAGTCCACTTCTCCAGCCAGCACCTTCTGCAGCTCAGACATCAATAGGTTCCCGACCTCGGTTCTGCCTCTTTACCACAAACACCCTCTGTCCGGACACAGTCACCAGCAGTGTGTGTTCACCAAAGACCACTGGAAGGGAAGGGAGCAAAGTCAGTGGGGACAGTGGCCTCCATGGGGGTCACAGCAAAACTGGCTGGGATGGGACAAAGGGAGGTGGCTGGGAAAACCCTTCCTACCCTTATTACTCGGTTCTCATACTAGAGGATCTCAAACTGAGGGCAGTGGTTGAACCAGGGACCCCAGGAGGAATTGGGAGTCAGTGGGATGGAGCCAGATAGTCCTCCCCTAAGCCGAGAGGCCTCTAGAAGCAAACCCCGCCCCCACCAAAAGCAGGAGCTCACCAGACAGGCGCTTGAAAGGGATGTTCGTGCCATGGTGCAGCCTGAAGCCACAGGCTGTGCTGACCAGCTCTGAGATGGTGCTGGCTGCCTGCTCATCGTTCTCAAGGTCTCCAGATGACTGCATGTGCATGGAGGAGGGAAGGGGCAAAAAGTGAGGGACCAGCGTTAGGAACAAATTTCAAGGCACAGGACCTCTGGCTCCCATACTTGTAATGGTCTCCCATTGTCCCAAGTTGCCCAGCATTAGATAAATTCTACCTGAAGCTTCTTTATGATGGTGGTGCCTTCCCTTGTGCCATCCTGTTTCTCACCCTGAAATACCAGCCTTTACTTGTAACTGCTGATACCCATAATGGGGATCAAAACCTTAGGTATGTTCATCAAATGACCTACCCCTCTAGGCAAGTGCTCTACCACTGAGCCACACCCCAGCCCCTCACTGTAGGATTCTAGGCAGGTGCTTACCACTGACCCACACCCCCAGCCTCTCACTAGGGGATTCTAGACAGGTGCTTTACCACTTAGCCACACTCCCAGTCCTTCATTGGGGGATTCTAGGCAGGTGCTCTACTACTGAGCCATGTCCCAGCCCCTCACTGGGGGATGCTAGGCAGGTGCTCTACCACTGAGCCACACCCCAGCCCTTCACTGGGGATTCTAGGCAGGTGCTCTACTACTGAGCCATGTCCCAGCCCCTCACTGGGGGATTCTAGACAGGAGCTCTACCACTGAGCCATACCCCAGCCCTTCACTGGGGATTCTAGGCAGGTGCTCTACCACTGAGCCACACTCCCAGCCTCTCACTGGGAGATTCTAGACAGGTGCTCTACCACTTAGCCACTTCCCAGCCCTTCACTGGGGGATTCTAGGCAGGTGCTCTACCACTGAGTCATGGCCCCCAGCCCCTCACCTAGGATTCCTGGCAGATGTTCCACTGCCGAGTCAACTGTCAGTCTTTAAAGTCTCTACCTATTCCCAGCCTTCCCACTTGTCCTGTCTGTAGGCTATGAAGCAGAAACACCCACTTGGTCTTGGAAACCTTCCCTCTGGCTACTCCTTGGGTAAATGATAGGACTACTGTCCAGGCTTCCTCTGAACAATAGTACAGGCTGTCTCAACTTCTTCCCACTGCTTCTAAGTGAGCCCATTACTAGGCTTAGTTCCTTTTGCTCTCAGTTTCTTCATCTGTATATTGGGGTTAGCAGGACCTACTTTATGGGCTTGTGAAAATTTCATAAGAAAACAATGAGAGAGCATTATGTACCTACTTAATAAATGTTCTATATAACTGCTATCAGTCCACCTCAAACTCAGTATCTACAGTCAGGCCATCAAAATTCCCCTTAGCTACCTCCTTGGTCAGCTTCCTTTCTCAATTTCTTATTTCTTCAGGCACCATAATATTTTCTGGTTTTCCCAGTTCAAAGTCCTGCTGAATGAGTACTTCAGAAAGGTACTATACACCCAGAAGTACTTTTATCTAATTATTACCAACATATATTAACACCTCTAATATGTATTCTCTGGGCTGTGGAGATGGCTTAGTGAATAAGAGCACTTGCTGTACAAGCAGGAGGACCTGAGTTCAAATCCCCAGCCAGGCATGGCCACAATTGTAACCCCAGCACTGTGGGGGTACAGACAGGTTAATCGCTGGGGCTTGCTCAGGGCTGCAAGCCTAGCTTCAGGCTCAGTGAGAGACCCTGCCTCAAGAAATAAGGCAGAGAGTGATAAAGCAGGACTCTCGTATCCTGCATTGGCCTCAGCACATGCATGGGCACACATACCTGTGCACACATGTGCAGACACACACTAAAAACAGATACAATGTCTTCTGTCCGTGTTCCTTATTGCGACCCGTCTAGTTTCCTACCTAGATGACAGTCCTGGAAGAGACCTGTTAAACCTTTTCAGTGACTTAGGTTTTTGCTTTAAATAACCCTCAAAGATGTCAAAGCTAGCCACAGGAAGTCCTCCACTGTCAAGATTCTTACCACATCATCCTTCCTGTTCAAACCGTTTCAACACAAACCCACACCTAACCCAGACAGGCACTGACAGGCTCAGGCTAGTATGTCCAGCTCCCAGCCCTGAGTGTTCTTTTTCTCATTCACAACCTTCTGACCTTGCAGCTCAGCTCAACTTCTGCCTCTAAAGAAATCTTGCCATTAAAAAAAAAAAAAAAAAAAAAAAAAAAAAAAAAAAAAAAAAAAAAAAAAAAAAAAGTTCTAGGGGCAGGTGAAATGGTTCAGAACATAAAAATGCTCACCTCAGTGCCTGATGACCTGAGTTCAGTCCTCAGGACCCACGTGGTGGAACAAGAACTCACTCCTGAAGGTGCCTCTGACATTCACTAGCTGTGGCACCCAAATGTGCCCCCATGTGGGTTTTAAAGATACACCAAATAAAAACATACTACAAGTGACCAGTTGTCATCAAACTAATTGTACGACTTTAGAAAAGTTGGTCTTTTTTTTTTAGGCAAGGTTACATGAAGTCCAGACTGGGAGTGAACTTACTAGGTAGCCAAGGATGACCCTGAACTTCTGATCTGCCTGTCTCTGCCTTTCAAGGGCTGGGATTATGTCCCACCATGTTTGGTTTTATACAATACTGGGGACTGAACCCAAGGCTTTGTGCGTGCTAAGCAAATTAACTCTCCGAACTGAGCTACATCCCCAGCCCTTTGGTAACAAACCTCTTATAATACCATGAAATAGGAGACCTGGATTCCAGACATTTAATTACTGAAAGCTTACTATATGGCAAGCAGGGAGCCAGACAGAGGGAAAAAAATAGACAACTGGGAGAAACTGGGCAAGATTTGAAGCGATTTCTGGACCGTGTATCCCCAAAGGACACCTTCCCCGCAACACACACATCCCGTCCCGGCCCCGTGCGCGCACCGTCCCCGCCCCGTGCGCGCACGCCTTGCGTTTCCACAACGCACCGCTAGCACTGCACCTTCGCTCAGCACCAGGTAGCCAAGCTGGTCTGGGATTCGCTCCAGTCCCTGGGTCAGTGCGGAAGTCTAGTGGGTAAAAAAGGCAAGGGGTGAGGAGCGTGACAGCCTTGCAGACCCATCTTCCTCCAGACCCTCTAAATGGCTTGTAGGACTGAGTCTCCATCCGCGGTCACCAGTGGACCCCCAAGCTCTTCCACTTGTCAAGTAGGAGACCCAGGAGGCCTTCCTAGCCCCATAGCCCCTCCTCGAGGCCCTTCTCACTCCAGTCCCCTTGTGCCCCGCCCCTTGTGCCATCTAGACTATTCCCCAGCCGCAGAACACCGGGTGGCAGAGCCTTCTCCAGCCCTCCCTGTCGCCTCCCTCCCATCTCCGTTCCCTCTCGGTCCCAGGGTGGACTGGAGGTGACAGCGGAAGGCAGGCCATAAGGGGGCAACCGAAGCTTGGGGAGCGGGGACGCGGAACCCTAGGCGTGCACGCCCGCGCATGCGTCCTCACTTACCATCGCAGCCGTAGGTGCCCGGGGAGCTGTCTACCAGATAGGTAGCTTCCGGCGCCAGGCTCCGGTCATGTGGTTTCACCAGCTGACTCGAGCCCAGCCCTTCGCCTGCCGATTGGAGGGCGGGTCCGTCATCAGACTTCATCAACCACTGCGGAGCGCCGCTTTCCAGACACACTCGTGGATTGGTTGCATTTCTCCGACCCGGAGAGCGTCGGAAGAGTCCGCGAGTTAGTGGGCGGGGCGGGGGCGGGGCGGGGCGCGGGCGGGGACGGGGCGGGCGGGGGCGGGGCGGGACACTCCCACCCCACCCTCCGGCTCTACGAATGTGCGCATGTGCGCCCGGGTCTTCTGAGCAGAAACTAACGGATTCTAGTGTTGTAAGGGAACACCCCTTAGGTGTCCTGCCTCAACCTGAAATGAGAAACTAACGTGAAAGAAAGACGATGGGTTGCGTATGAAAAGCCGTTCACAATGTTACTCTTCTGTCTTGAGGTTTAAGAGTGAAGCAACCCAAATATAACGAATGGGTAAGTCAAATTTGGGGCATATACACGGTGGCCTAGGATCAACACAAGGGAATAAGGTCCCTGTTGTGCCCTGAGCGCGAGATCCCCCAAAGAGACCACCAGAGACACGAGCTCACCGAAATGCAAAAGCAATGTTTATTGGAGCAGTTCAATCCCCGGGGCAGGGACCTCATCAAGCCATCCAACACAGTAGAGGCTGGAGGAGGTGCCTGCCCCTCTGCTCAGTTTTTAAAGGCAAAACCCACAAGGTTACATCAGTTAGGGGTGCTAATATGGGTACAATTCTAATTGGCTCAAGTTTTAGGGGCCTTCCAGAATTTTTGTGTTATCTTACTTTTTAGTTTTGACTGGTTGTTTGTCAAACTTTATAGACTGTCTCGGGCATTGGGGCACCTGTGTTAATCAGTTGCTACCAGATAGTCCCTCAAACATCCTGACTTTGTACTTTTGACCATCTCCAGAATCGGGGCATTCTATGGTTAATCAGTTGCTACCAGATGGCTCTTCAAACATCCTGACTTTGTCCTGGAACCGATGTCAGCAGCTCTGAGAATTTAGAAACTCAGGCCTGTTCCAAGCTGGGGTGAGGGGCTTGCTTGAAATGGGGGTGCTTTGGTTCTTCAGTCCCGATGTACAGTGCAGCGTGAGAATCTCAAAAACATGATACGAGATGGAGAAAGCAGGCTGGAGCGATGGCTTCAGAGACCACTCAGCCAAATAGCCAGTTCAAAGATAGCCTGAGGCCCGAGCTACCTGCCGAGACCCTGACCAACACACATATACACTTCTGGCAAATCCAGAAAACCTGGAAGCATGTTAGTGGCTGGTAGTGGGGCAAGAGAACATAGGGAGAGGCTGTTGATGAGAATTTTTTGTTTTGTTTGTTTTTTGAGGGGGGCAGAGTGATTTATACTTTTTGGAATTCATGTTGAAGACTGCACATCTTCGTGAATGTGCTGAAGTCACTGAATCCTACACTTTAAAATAGAGAGTTTTAAGATGTGTGAGGTATACCCCGCCCCCTTCAGTGCTGAGAATTATAGCTCGACAGTGGAAGTCCTTGGTCCCAAATCCTCCTGTTGTAGAAGCAGCAGCTGACCAGAGAAGAGGCATGTCTTTTAAAGTGAGGCAAGGCTGTGGCCGTCGCTTAAGTGCAAACACTTGCCTAGCGCTCACAGGCCCCAAATTCAATCTTGATGACAAAAATATGGAAGAAGGACTGGCAAGATGGCTCAGCAGGCAAAGGGGCTTGCCGCCAAGCCTAATAACCTGAGTTCGATCACCGGGTCCCATGTTGTGAAAGAAAACAAACCGACTCCCACAAGTTATCCTCTGACCTCCACCTGTAAGTCATGGCACACGTGGCCACACACATACATGCACGTGTACATAATAAATTAATAAAAATAAAAGTATAATTACAATATAAAATTTAATTTAAATGGGTCTGGTAATGCATATCTATAATCCCGTACTCGGGAGTGAAGTGGGAGGATCTTTAATTCAAGACTATTTTAAGGTAAATAGTGAGATTGTCTCCAAAGAGTTTTAAATTAGTGAAGATTGTTGAGAGAAAGTTATTCAGAGATGTTAAATGTGCAAGGCCTTCCCTGGTCTTAGACACTCATGATGCTTAGGAATAACATGGGGTTTTTTGTTGGTTTTTGTTGGTTTGTTCAGGACTTCATGTAGCTTAGGCTGGCCTTGAGTTCCTGACACTCTTGTTTCCACCTCCCAAGTACAGAGGTTACAGCTGTGTGCTGCCACAGCTGGCTAGGGATAGCTTTGCATTTATTACTCAGAGCATTTTCATCTATACACATTCATCTAAAACTTGTTCATCACCCCATAGTATCCCCCTCCCCACATTTAATGTCCCTGTAATAGCTCCATGTTGTAGATGGGGGAAGTGTAGAGGTTGAGCCTTGCTTCCAGGCATACAACTGGCCAGCTGCCAGTTTCTATTCTCAATTTTCTGATGTCAAGGCCAATGCTTGTTACTTTGCTCTCAGGGCCGATTATGCAGTTCTTTAAAACTGCATTTTACCTTTTTAATCGCAAATGACTAAACCATCCAAGAACGGCTAGTATTCAGTGATCAAGAAGGGGATGAGGGTCTAGAGATGGCTTGGTGGTTGAGATCATGTGGTGCTTGTCCAGAGGACCTGTGTTTGGTTCCCAGCACTCATGCCAGGCAACCCATAAGCTCTAGCTGTAGGGGGTCTGATGTTTTCTCTCTTCAAGCCTTTGTGGACATATACACATACATGTGAGAGTGTGTGCACACACACACATATGCACACTTTTTAAAAAATAAGAATTTTTTTTAAAAAGGGCAAATTTTCATTTCCTTTTAGGCGTAATGTCAGACATAGTTATTAACACAGAAACTATCAGCAACACATAGAATACTGATTTTTAACTACAGACAGCCCATGCAATGACATGAATTACATTTCCTTTGACCTCAAAACTTCCTCCTGACATTTTTGTTAATACAGAAGAACTCTTTGCAAGGCTCTGTTCATCATTCAGTACTGTTTCCTTTTGCAACAACTTGGTTCACACTATTCATGTCGACATCAGTGTTTCTTGCTCTGGCAACAAGTGTGTATTGGGCATTTCCTATGTACCAAACACTCTCCTTAAAATTGGTGGCAAGAGTAGTGACTTTTCTCTGAGACAGGATCTCATGTAGGCTTGAGGCTAATACTCCTGTAAGCCAACATAGTAAGAACTGTACGTTGAAACTGGCCTTGATAATGAGTTTTTACTATAACAACAAAACCATGAGCAACAAATAGCACCCTGAACAAGTGGGATGTGATTAATGGGACTGAAATTAAGGAGACATGCCTGAGATCTCTCTGTGACGATCTTCTCAGAGATGTTTCACTGAAGAGTGGGCCCCACCTGAATGTGGGCAGCGCCATCTACTGCACTGGCATCCCAGACTGCATAATAAGGAGAAAGTGAGCTGAGCACCAGCATCCATCTCTCTCTGCTTCCTGACTATGGATGCCACATGACCAGCTGCCTCACGCTCCCACTGCCATGCCTTCCCACCACCAAGATGAACTGTATCTCCCGAAACCATGAGGCTTCCTCAAGTGCAGGATCTTGTCACAACTACCAGAAAATTAACTGATAATTTAATTAAAAAGGTTGAGACTTTTTTCTGATGATGATATACAAATATCAATAGCTGTTTTGTACAGTTCAGAGGATGATCTGTGATAGCCACAATTTTGGTTTTGGACGGGTGACTTTATTAAGAGGGAGAGAGAGAACACAAAACATAACCAAATCGGGTATTCAAGTATCCAGCAAAAACTAACTGGGGAAGCCCCTTTAAGACAGCCACCAACAGACAGAGTCCTGGCAGAATAGAATGCCTCCTTGAGGGAGGCTTCTAAGTCAAAGAACAAAAATCATCAAATTAGGAGCTTACAGATATCCAGTAGAAACTGACCTGGGGAGGCTGAGGCAGTTGACTGGAGTTCCCCCATGAAGTTTTCACCCCATGGCTGACCTGGCTTCTCTCCTGCTACAGGCACCTTTATACCATGGTGTGAACACTAGGGAACCTCTGTTGGAAATGGGTCACCTGCCAGTCATTCTCAAGGGCACTTTATTTGGTTGGTTGGTTGGTTTTGAGACAGGGCCTCACAGTGTAGACTAGGCTGGCCTGGTACGCGCAGAGATCCTCCTGCCTTTGCCGCCAGAGTTCTGTGATTAAAGATGTGTGCCACCGTGCACTGACAGGTACAGTATTTTCACTCTTGGGCTCTTTTGATGCTTTGCTCCTGCCCTATCAGAGTTAAGGGGCCAGTCCATCCCTAGATTGTCACTGTGTGTCACAGCACGAGTGTGTGGGTTCATGTGGATCTGTGGAAAGAAGATTCAGAGGCATCTTAAGAATGAATCTAGCCCTTCATGGCTGCAGAGGGATCCAGCCTCGAAGGACTGAAGCACTTTCCCTTCGCCCAGGGCATCTTTATTTTCTCTCTATTTACAGTTTAGCCAGTTAATTTTCACATGCTCAAAGCAAACCTGAAAGGAGCTCCCAGAGATAAAATTCCAAGTGCAAATTCCTCGATTTCGCAGGTACCACAGTGGTTTTCTGGGTTTCCTGAACCAAGTTTTGCATAGACCTTGGATCCTTGGGAGACTCTCAGACAAGATTCATATAGGGCAATAAGAGAAACAAAAGGTGTCGGTTAAACAAAGGAAGGATTAGGGCTAGGTGCTGCTCTCTGGAGCCCAGGCTAGGAGTAGCTCAGCAGGAATGCAGCCACACTAGATCTTGGAAGACTCTTTGAGTCAAACATGGTTATGCCTGAAATGGAGGTGGAGTTGGGGATGGGGGTGTAACTTTGCTTCCAGAACCAGCTTCCCAGTGCATTCAAACAGCCTACCAATATAATGTACATGTAACAGCTAATGAAAGGGTGTTCCACATCACTAATTACTAGGGAAATGCATACCAAAACTACCCCACACTTGCTAGGATGGGTATTTCTTTAGGTTCATATGTAGGGGTGTTTTGCCTGCATGTGTGTCTATGTACCATGTGCAGCATAGTGCTACCTGAGGCCAGAAGAGGGTGTCAGATCTCTGTGGGTGCTGGGAACTGAATCCCGCTCCTCTAGAAGAGCAGCCAGTGCTCTTAGCCATCTCTCCAGCCCCTAGAACAGTCATTATAAAAGACAAGTGATGAGTGTTGGTGAGATAGTAAAGAAAGGGAATCCTTGTGTCTGCTGGACACCATGTGAACTTGTACAGCCATTATGGAAAGCAGTATGAAGTTTCCTCAAAAAATTAAAAACAGAGCTACCACATGGGGTCTGGAGAGATGGCCTAATAGTTAAAGAGTGCTTGCTGCCCTTACAGAGGACTGGAGTTCAATTCCTAGCACCCACATCAAACGGTTCCCACTTGCCTGTAACTCCATCTGCAGGAGGGTGTCTGATACCCTCTTCTGGCCTCCATGTGCATTACACTTTCATGTTCAAACTCACACTCAGATGTGCACATATACACATAATTTAAATTAATAAAAATAAGATGCTTTAATTAAAAAAAAGCTAACATGTGATTCAGCCATGCCAATACTAGACATATAACAGAAAAAGCAATATGTTGAATAGATATCTGCACTGATATGTTTATTGACATACTACTTATAATACCTAAAATATAGAATCAATCTAAATGTCCACAACAGAGAAAGAGAGAGAGAGAGAGAGAGAGAGAGAGAAAGAAAGGAAGAAAGAAAGCTGGGCAGTGGTGGCACACACCTTTAATACCAGCGCTCAGGAGGCAGAAGCAGATGGATCTCTCAAGACCAGCCTGATCTACAGAGAGAGTTCTAGGACAGCCAAGGCTACACAGAAAAACCCTGTCTCCAAAAACCAAAATAATAATATATTTATATTATACACATACAACAGGATATTATTCAGACTTAAACGTGAGGAAAATCCTACCATTTGCCACAACATGGTGACCTGAAATAGTGAAGGGAGCCAGATACATGAGGGGTAATTTTGTATGATCTCAATGACATGTAATCTTTTGAAGTCAAATATATAGATACAGTGAATTTTAAAAATAAGTCTCAGATGTTGGTATGAGGTGTGTGTTGGTTAATTTAATATCAACTGATGCAAGCTAGAGTCCTCTGGGGAAAGTGATTTCTCCATTGAGAAAATGCCTCCATAAGATTCATCTGTAGGCAAGACTATAGTGCATTTTCTTGCTTAGGGATAGATGTGGATGGGCCGGCCCGCTGAGGGCAGTGCTACCCCGGGCTGATGGTCCTGGGTGGTATAAAAACCGAAGGAGCAAGCATGGTCACAAGCAATGGTGAGTGCTTCTCCACAGCTTCCACTTCAGTCCCTGCCTCGGTTCCTCTCTTCAATCCCTGCCTTGACTTCCCTCGGTGATGGACTGTGACCTGAGAGTCGTAAGCTGAAATAAACCCTTTCCTCCCCCCAGTTGCTTTTGGTCGGGGTTTGTTTTTTTCATAGGAGTAGAAACCCTAAGGGTGGAAATAGGTTGATGCAAGTTGGGGGATACAAAGGCATTCTGGGACACCATGCCCAGCATGGTCTTGAACTCTTGATACTGCTCCGGTCTCTGCTCCTGAAGGCTGGAATAACAGTGCCATAAAACCAGTTTATGTGGTGCTGGGGCACTAGACCTAAGGCATTTTTGCATACTGGGCAAGCACTCTACAAACCGAGCAACATCCCCCACCTTGAAAATTAAAAAAAAAAAGATATTCTACCATTTGGAGCCACAAGGCTTTAAGCTAGACAAATACTAGCTGGATGTTGTCATGGCACATATGATAGCCAGGCTAGCCTGGAATCTACAAACTTTCTGCCAAGGAATATTTTTTTTTCTCAGTATGTATCTTGGTATATGCTTGATGTGTATCTTTCTTTCCTATCTTTGTTGTTGTTGTTGTGTTGGCTTTTTGAGACAAAATCTTATGTATTGCCTTAAACTCCTTATATAGCTTGAGGACCACCCTGAAGTCCTGACCATCTTTACCTCAGTCTCTCATGTGCTAGGTTACAGTTCTGTGTAGTTCAAGGTGGCTTACAAAGCGAGAAAGTGCAAGGAGGGGTTTCTGTGCGGTAGACCTTGACTATGTAATAGGCTGAGGACTGGGACAGACTCTTCCCGGAGTAGCCCTTGAGGGCTCTAATGAGGTTTTGCAAAGGACATGCTGTTTGCTAGACTGTTACAGACCCAAAATAGAGGCTGCGATAGATGGGTTTTCACTGATAAGAATTATTTAGTTCACTGAGTCCTCCATATTTAAGAACTGAGGGTTTTGTATAAAATTCTTGGGTTCCAGCTTCTTGTAACCCCAGCATTAGGTGGGGAGAGGGGCTGAGACAAACAGATCCCCGAAGCTCATTGGCTAGACCCATTAGCCGAATGAGAAGCTCAAAACAGAAAGGTGAGAAGACATTGGAAAGTCTACCTCTGGCCTCTACACACACATGAATGTGTGCACATACCTGCACTAACACATACATACAACACATACCGTACACACACACACACACACACACACACACACACACACACACACACAGTGTAGGAGGTATCAAATAAGTAAATAAAAAAACAAGTATCTGCTGGTTATAGCGGTGCCCACCCTTAATCTCAGCACTCAGAGGCAAGGAGATCTTGGTCTACATATTAAGTTCCAGGCTAGCCAGGGCTCCGTAGTGAGACCTTGTCTTAAAAATAAAATAAAATAAAATAAATTAAATAAAATAGGAGTACAGAAGGTGAAGGTGAGGTGGGAGGCAGGTAACTGGTGCATGGCAGCTGCCCTTAGTACATACAACCTTTAATAAGCTGATTTCCCCATCAAGCTAAACTTACCCTAGTTGTCCTTTTATTTTTAGAAAGGGCCTCATTTAGCCCAGGCTGGCCTCAAACTCTCTTTGTAGCTAAGAAAGAGCCTCAAACCTCTTTTGATTTTCCTGCCTCCACTTCCCAAGTGCTGTGATTAGAGGAAATACATTACTGCACCATCACACCTATCTATGCAGTACTGGAATCCAACCAGGGTTCTGTGCATGCTGGGTGAGTTGGTTTGAAAGAAAATGACCCCTAAAGGGAGTGGCACTATTAGGATGCATGGCCTTGTTGGAGGAAGTATGTCACTATGGGGTTGAGCTTTGAGGTCTCATATATGCTCAAGCCGCACCCAGTTTCTCAGACCACTTCCTGTTGCCTGTGAGTCAAGATGTTAAGAACTCTCAGCTTCTTCTCCAACACCATGTCTGCCTTCATGATGCCTTGCTTCCCACCATGGCGATAATGACTAAACTTCTGAACTGTAAATTAAATGTTTTCTTTTATAAGAGTTGCTGTGAATGGATGGAACTAGAAAATATCATCCTGAGTGAGGTAACCCAGACTCAGAAAGACAAACAAGGTATGTACTAACTCATTAGTGGATACTAGATGTAAAGCAAAGGATAATCAGACTACAACCCACAGATCCAGAGAAACTAGGAAACAAAGAGGACCCTAAGAGGGATGCATGGATCGTCTTGGGAAGGGGAAACACATGAGATCTCCATTAGTAAACTGGGGATGGGGGGGCAATAGAGGGGAGGGGATAGGGATGAGAACTTGAGGGAATGGGATGGTTGAGCTGGGGGAGGGACAAAGTGGGAGAGCAATGAAAGAGATATCTTGATAGAGGGAGACATTATGGGGTTAGGGAGAACCCAGGTGCTAGGGAGGTTCCCAGGAATCCACAAGGATGACCCCATATTAGACTACTAGCAATAGTGGAGAGGGTGGCTGAACTGGCCTACCCTGGTAGTCAGATTGGTGAATACCCTAACTGTCATCATAGAGCCTTCATCCAGTAACTGATGGAAGCCGATGCAGAGATCCACAGCCAAGCACCAGGCCAAGCTCTGGAAGTCTAGTCGAAGAGAAGGAAGAGGGATTGTATGAGCAAGGGAGGGGTCAAGATCATGATGGCGAAATCTACAGAGACAACTGAACCAAGCTCGTAGGAACTCATGAACTTTAGACTGACAATTGTGGAACCTGCATGGGACTGGACTAGGCCCTCTGCATATAGGAGACAGTTGTGTAGCTGGGTCTGTTTGAGGAGCCCCTGGCAATGGGATCAGGACATCTCCCTGGTACATGAGCTGGCTTTTTAGAGCCCTTCACCTTTGGTGGGATGCCTTGCTTAGCCTTGATACTGTGGGGAGGGGCTTGGTCCTTCCTCAACTGAATGTACCAGGCTTTACTGACTCCATGGGAGGTCTCACCCTTTTTGGAGGAGGGGTTCGGGAGTAAGGCAGGGGGGCTGGAGGGAGCAGGAGGAGGAATGAGAAGGGGATCTGTGTTTGGTATGTAAAATGAATAAAAATTTTTTAATTAAAAAAAAAGAGTTGCTGTGGTCATAGTGTCTACTCACAGCAACAGAAGCCCTAGTGAAGACACTGGGCAAGCATTTTGCCCACTGGGCCACATCCTCAGCCTATTTAACTATTCTTTGCTCTGTTCATGCTGCCCCACTTCCTAGGTAGGCATTTCTTTTACATCTCTATGGAAAATTTGCATAATACAATCCTTTTTATTTTCCTATTTGTTTCTTTTTTAATCCTAGAAAGGTACTTTGGTCACATTTTATAAAAGCTTTAGTTTCCATCTGGGCAGTGGTGCACGCCTTTAATCCCAGCACTCAGGAGGCAGAGGCAGGTGGATCTCTGATTTTGAGGTCAGCTTGGTCTACAGAATGAGTTCCAGGATAGCCAGAGCTACACAGAAAAAAAATTTTAGTTTCTTTTTTATTTTTATTATTATTATTATTATTATCATCATCATCATCATCATCATCATCATCATCACCTTAATTATGTGTGTGTGCTTGTGTCCACACACAGGTAGGTATGTGCACATGAGTGCAGGTGCCTAAAGAGATCAGAGGCTCTGTATTGTTGGAGGCCCCTATAGCTGGAGTTAAAGGCAATTGTGAGCCACCTGCTGTGGGTGCTGGGAATTGAACTCAGGTCCTCTGCAAAACAACAAGTGTTCTTAACTGCTGAGCCATCTCTCCAGCCCTAAGCCTCAGCTGACAGATGGTGGGAGTGGGGTGAGGGGAATCCAAGAATCCAACCTTGCCATTCAGCAACAAATATTCAGGAGAGCACTTTCCCACAGAAACCTCTGTATTCATTTTTTAAAATTATATTTGGGTATTTGCTTGTGTATGTTTGGGGTAGGGTATATGTGTGCCAAGGTATTTGTGTGGAGGTCAGAGAATAAGGGTTCTCTCCTTCCATCATGTAGGTCCTGGAAATTGAAATTAGATCCCCTGGCTGATGGCAAGTACTTTTACCAAATGATCATTTTGACAGGCCCAAATCATCATATTGATATAGATTAGTAGAAGATGAAGTCTTGGAGCTGAAGAGATGGCTCAGCTGTTAAGACTGCTTGTTGCTTTTTCAGAGGACCTGTGTTCAATTCCTAGCACCCACATGGTTGTTTATAACCATCTGCAACTCCAGCTCCAGAAGATCCATCCAATGCCTTCCCTCTTCTGATGCCTGCAGACACCAAGCATGCATGTGGTGTACATACATCCATTCAGGTAAAACACTTGCACATATAAAATAAGTAAATAAATCTTTAAAAATCTTTTTTTACAATGTAATATTAGGTATTTCTACAGTGAAAATTCAGAAACAATTCAAGTGCATATGGACAAAAGAAAGAAATAAATTATTTAAAATAAATTATTAAAACAATTATTACTAATTATTAACACATCTCATCACACATTATATTATTACATATTATATTATATTTTGTATGTTATAATTACAATTAATTATTAAAATGAAATTATTTGAAAAATAAGAGAAAAAGAACTAAATATTCTTTGACTGATGATTCTATTTCCCCTATCGTATCTTCAGTGCCAGAGATTCTCTCTTCCATCTCTTGCATTCTATTGGTTATGCTTGCATCTGTAGTTCCTGTTCATTTACTCAGATTTTCTATTTCCAGCATTCCCTCAGTTTATCTTCTTTATTGTCTTGATTTCATTTTTCAAATCTTGAACTGTTTCCTTCACCTGTTTAATTGTTTTATCTTGGCTTTCCTCATGGGATTTACCAATTTCTTCCAATTTTTTGTTGGTCTTTTTCTTGATTTCTTTAAGGGAATTTTTCATTTCTTTAAGGGATTTTTTCATTTCCTCTTTAAAGACCTCTATCATCTTCTTAAAGTCATTTTTAGGGTTGATTTCTTCTGTTTATTTTGGGATGTTCAGGTCTTGCTGATGTAGAACCACTAGGTTCTGATGGTGCCATATTGGTCTTTATGTTGTTGATGGTATTTTTGCACTGGCGTCTACCCATCTCTTTCTCCACTCGGTGCAAGTGGTGTCTGTGTCTGATCGATACCCTTGGTCTAATCGGTGCTGATGGACTCTGTCTCAGGGGGCAGCTCTTAGTTTAAGCAGTGCTTATGGGTTCTGTCTCAGGGAGCAGCTGCATTATCGGAGGGTAGGTGGGTTTGGGAGGGGTGGGGCTTGTGGCTTACAGAGTCTGGTGGGGGAGGTGGTAGTCCGACCTGTCTGCAGGAGACCTGCTTACCCGCCTGAAACTAGGACTGCAATAGGTGGTGGTGTGGGGGCACAGGGTTGTGCCCCTGGGACCAAAGCCTAGAGGCTGAGGTGTTCAGCTATGAGGACAAAGACTCAACTCTTAGTCTAACCGACACTAGCGGGCTCTGTCTCAGGGAGTAGTTGCAGTCTTAGAGGGTGGGTGGGGTTTGGGTGAGGTGGGGCTTGTGGGTCCAGGAAATTTGGGACACCATGAAAAGACCAAACCTAAGAATAATAGGGATAGAAGAAGGAGAAGAATACCAACTCAAAGGCACAAAAAATATATTCAACAAAATCATAGAAGAAAACTTTCCCAACCTAAAGAAGAAAATGCCTATGAAGATACAAGAAGCTTACAGAACACCAAATAGACTGGATAAAAAAAAAAAGTCCCCTTGCCACATAATAATCAAACCACTAAACATATAGAATAAAGAAAAAATATTAAAAGCTGCAAAGGAAAAATGCCAAGTAACATATAAAGACAGACCCATCAGAATAACACTTGACTTCTCAATGGAAACTGTAAAAGCAAGAAGGTCCTGGATAGACGTTATACAGATACTAAGAGACCATGAATGCCAACCGAGACTATTATACCCAGCAAAACTCTCAATCACCATAGACAGAGTAAACAAAATATTCCATGATAAAACCAGATTTAAACAATATCTTTCCACAAATCCAGCCCTACAGAAAGCACTAGAAGGAAAAATCCAACCTAAAGAAGTTAGATACACCCACAAAAACACAGGCAATAGAATATTCCATAGCAACAAATACTAAAGAAGGGAACAACACTACCACCAAAAAAAAAAAAAAACAAAACAAAACAAAAAACCAGGAATTAACAATAGTCATTAATATTCACTAATATCAATGGTCTCAGTTCGCCTACAGAAAGACATAGGCTAACAGATAGATATGAAAACAGGATCCATCCTTCTGCTGCATACAGGAAACATACCTCAACTTCAAAGACAGACACTACCTCAGAGAAAAAGGCTGGGAAAAGATTTTCCAATCAAATGGACTTAAGAAGCAAGGTGGTGTAGCTATCCTAATATCTAACAAAATAGACTTCAAACCAAAATCAATCTAAAGAAATCAGGAAGGACATTACATATTTATCACAGGGAAAAACCCGACAAGATGAAGTCTCAATTCTGAACATTTATGCCCCAAATACAAGGGCACCCACATTTGTAAAAGAAACATTACTAAAGCTTAAATCACACATCAAACCCCATACACTAGTAGTGGGAGACTTCAACACCCCACTCTCACCAATGGACAGGTCTGCCAGACAGAAACTTAACAGAAAAATAAGGGAACTTACAGACATTATGACTCAAATGGACTTAATAGATATTTACAGAACATTCTACATCTACAGAACTAAACAGAGAATTATCAAGAGAAGAATTATCAAGTGGCTGAAAGACATTTAAGGAATTGCTCAACATCTTTAGTCATCAGGGAAATGAAAATCAAAAGAACTCTAAGATACCATCTTATACCTGTCAGAATGGCTATGATCAAAAACACTGATGACAGCTTATGTTGGATAGGATGTGGAGCAAGGGGAACACTCCTCCACTGTTGGTGGGAGTGCAAACTTGTATAGCCACTTTGGAAATCAGTATGGTGGTTTCTCAGAAAATTGGGAATCAATTTACTTCAAGATCCAGCTATACCACTCTTGAGTATATACCCAAGGAATGCACAATCTTACCACAAAGACACATACTCAACTATGTTTATAGAAGCATTATTTGTAATAGCCAGAACCTGGAAACAACTAGATGCCCCTCAACCAAAGAATGAATAAAGAAAATGTGGTACATTTACACAATGGAGTACTATGCAGCCATAAAAAAACAATGATATGAAATTTGCAGGCAAATGGATGGAACTAGAAAATGTCATCCTGAGTGAGATAACCCAGACTCAGAAGGACAAGCATGGTATGTACTCACTCATAAGTGGATACTAGATGTAAAGCAAAGGATTACCAACTACAGCCCACAGCCCCAGTGAAGCTAAGTAACAAGGAGGACCCTAAGAGGGGCACATAGATAGGCCAGTGAAGGAGAAATAGATGAAACCTACATAAGCAAACTGGGGTGAGGGGGTTAATGGAGGGTGAGGGATGGAGGATGAGAACATAGGGGAATGGGAGGTTTAAGCTGGAACAGGGACAGAGTGGGAGAGCAAGGAAGGAGATACCATGATAAATGAAGACATCATGGGAATAGGAAGAAACAGGGTACTAGGGAATTTCCCAGGATGCCACAAGGATGACCCCACCTTGGACTACTAGCAATTGTTGAGAGGGTGCCTGAACTGGCCTACTCCAGTAATCAGATTAGTGAATACCCTGTCATCATAGAGCCTTCAAACAGTTACTAATGGAAGCGGATGTAGAGATCCATGGCCGGGCGCCAGGTTGAGCTCCAGGAATTCAATCGATGAGAGAGGAGAGGGATTCTATAAACAAGGAACATCGAGATTATGATGAGAAAACATACAGAGACAACCATCCACACTAACGGAAAATCATGAACTGTGGACCAATAGCTGTGGAGCCCCCATGGTACTGTACTAGGCCCTCTAGATATGTGAGACAGTTGTTTAGCTTGAACTATTTGTGGGGCCCCCAGCCAGGGGGATCAGGATCTGTCCC